TAGTATGTTTCTTTGTATGGCACCTATGCCAGTCTAGGAAACAGAATTTGCTTATCTGCTTTCATTTTTTCTTAAATATGTCTCTATTTTTAAGAAGTTTATGCATGTATACAATGAAATATGATCATATTTATGTGCTGCTCATATGTGCATGGGAATCCTACCAATAGCCATAGCTCATCATTAAAAAAAAGAGTCATTGTCTTCTCCCTTCTCCGGCAGCTGTCAACTGCCAATAACTCCTCAGTAAGGGTTGGGTCCTGGGGATCATCTGCCTCACCCATGCTGGAATTTTGACTAGCTTGATCTTGTTCAGATATTGTACAGCTAACCCCAGCTGCTGTGAATTCATGAGTGCAATCATCCTGTTATGTCCAGAAGACAGCATTTCACAGCATTCCATCCATTCCTCTGGGTTTAAATTCTTTTGGCCTCTCTGCCACAACATTTAAGGAAGCTTACAGAGGTCTCCAAAATAACCCAGGCTATTTCTATTGCCATTGGTTATCCTCTGTAACTATATTCTAAGAACCTAGTACTGAAAACTCTAGCTTTATGACATAGAGAAACCAATCTCTAATCAACCAGGAAAATTCTTTATTGCTGGCTAGATTTCATAGTGCTCAAAGGGACTATATAGGCTGCTGAGGGACAAAACACATTAATGGTCTATGTCTAGCTGAACCCTTCATGCTGTAATATCAACCTTTCAGACAAGATGCTCTTTCACTAAATTTTCCCCTTCCCACTGGGAGACCCACCTTCATTCAGGGTCCCCCGGTCCTGATGCAGATTGGCAAACCAACATAAGACATTCTATTTAGTTTTTGAATAGTTTATATGCTGTCTGGGAAAGGGAGTGACTTACAAAAACATGGATTTGCATAGGCTTTTCTTTCCCATGTTTGAGGCATGCCCATCCTCCCCTTTTCCTGCTCAGCCCCTTTCCCTGGTTCACCCCCATCCAGGAGGGGTCAGAGAGGCAGCATCTCTCCCTGCTCTCCATTCTCCATTCAATATGATGTGGCTCCACCCCTTTATCCCAGTGCAATGCGAGTCTCCCACACTAGCCCTGGATGAACTCCAGCTTTTCAGAGGAACATCCGGGTTACAGATGCCGACTGGTACAACGGTGGCATGTGCCAGTGCTAGCCGGCCAAGACAGACAGTACCTGAAAGGGGGACTGAGGATTGAAAGAAAAAACAAGAGACATAGAAAAGATACTTGGGAGGACTGTCAGTAGAGACTACAACCCCAGTTTATTTTAGCTCAGCCTTTTTATACAGAAGAACATCAGAGATAGCCACTGTTTTCTTAACTCAATTAATTTCAACAGCTGTTTTTCCTACCTGTATCTGAGGGTCAAGGAGCAGTCAAATACTTGTTGTGAGCTCCACCATATAAACACATTCCTCCTGACTTGGCAGACTAGGTCAAAACACAAACTCTAAGTAAACAAGCAATCCTGCCACAGCTCAATGTACGTAATGGATTAATAGCTCCCAACATCTCCCCCTTTTTTATTTTTTATAACCCCAGGTTATGCTATATCTAGGACAGGACTGTGCCTGTCTTAGGTTGTCTTCTGCCAGAGAAAAGCCTTACCCAAAATTGGCATGTAGCTTCCATCAGCTATGCCTTGTCTTAGGTTGACTTTCTCCCAGAAGAACTTACCCGTCTTTGACTACCAGCCTCTGTTAGGGGAGGGAGTGCAATCTCATCATGCACAGCAGCTTTGATTTGCCACAAGGTTTAACAAAGACATAGGAGGAAAAGCATGCCAAGTCCCACTAAACCATACACAATGGAAGTGATGGAGGACCATGATGGTAAGATGGCTCTCAGCCTTTTTAGAATATCTGCCACTGCTTACAGGGTGGAAATGCTTGCGGAGAAATTTTTTTTTTCCTCTACTCTATTATCTCTTGGCAATGACACTTTGACATTGGTACAGTATCCACTTCGTCCCATAAGCACACAGTCATCTACTTGTACACACCCGGACGTATTATTTTTAACAAAACAAATAGGCAACCTGCTTCCTAATCCAAAATAATAAAAATTTGTCGCCACTTGCGACATCAGGCATTTTGAAGCAGGCTGAGCAATTAACCAAGAGTCATTCATAGTCACTACTATCTCTTTTTCCTCCCATATCACAGGGTGCAATATTGTGGATCAGGAACATAAGTCCAGTATAACTCAGCCAAGATCACTTGTGGGAACATCATCATCAGCCACGTTTGCCACCTCATCATTCTTTTCTACTTCTTTTTCTGGCACTCGACCAGCAAACTGCACCAGCCTTTCCAGCAGCCACCTGGCTCCATCCACGTCCTGCTGAAAAACACAAACATGCCCTCTTCCCCATATCAATACAAGGTCGGGGCTATTCCATTGTCCATTTAAAGGATCTTTCCACCTGACTTGGGCATAGTTATCCTGTGACTGAGGGTGCCACATTCTGTCTGCTGCAGAGTGGTCATTTTTATCCAAATTCAAAAAGTTTAAAATGAAAAGAGTATGATGTAAAAGATTACTTGGTGTCTGGGGTTATAACTCCCCCTTTTTTATTTTTTGTGATTGTGCTTTTAAAGCGCCATGAGCTCTTTCCACTATACCTTGTCCTTGTGGGTTATACAGTATTCCAGTTCTATGCTCAATGCCCTATTGCAAACAGAAACGTTGGAATCCCTGACTGGTATAGCCAGAGCCATTATCTGTTTTTATAACGTTAGGGATCCCAGCTATGGAAAAGCAAGTCAAGCAATGAGTTATAACATTTTTTGTGGCTTCCCCTGTTTGCACAATAGCCATAATAAAGCCATAAAATGTATCTATTGTAACATGCACATACCTTTGCCTGCCAAAATCTGCAACATGAGTAATATCCATTTACCACAACTGGTTAGGCTTCAGCCCTCTAGGATTAACCCCATAATGAGGAACAATTTGTGTTTGAGGACAAGATGAGCATTGTCGCACAATTTGTCTTGCAGCTTCCCTAGTAATATGAAATTGTTTTCTCAAACTTTGGTTTTTGGTGATGAATGGAATGAGAATTTGTAGCTTGCTCTGACTATAAGCTGAATGGCTTTATCCACCAAGGCATTCCCCAAAGCTAATGGCCCAGGAAGACCACTATGTGCTCTGAGATGTACTATATAGCAAGGATATTTTCTAGATTTAATACTATTTTGCACTTGTCTTAACAGCAAACAAATTGGAACATTCCTTGTTTCAATAAAAGGTACTGTTTCAATTTCCTGTAGAGGTCGAGCTACATAATGACTATCTACATAGAGACTGAAGGGTGCTGAGGCCAGACGCTGGAACACTGCAGCTACAGCGCGAAGTTTCACTACCTGTGCTGAAGCAGGGGAAGTTTGAAAAGAATAACTTTGCCCATAAATCACATAAGCTGCGTGTCCATTAGAAGAACCATCAGTAAATACTGACATAGCCTGGGGCATGGGACTAACCTTAACTATCTTTGAAAATACCAAGTCATGCACATTAGCAAATTGTAACAATTTATCCTTGGGATAATGATTCACTATCTGACCTATATAATTTGCAAATGCAATTGCCATTGAATCTACATTTTGAAACAACCATAGCAATTGCACCTTAGTGTAAGGAACAATAATTTGAGCAGGCTCGGCTCCAAAGTACCGACACGATTCAGTACATAATTGTTGGACCAAGGCCGCTATTTAGCAAATTGTAACAATTTATCCTTGGGATAATGATTCACTATCTGACCTATATAATTTGCAAATGCAATTGCCATTGAATCTACATTTTGAAACAACCATAGCAATTGCACCTTAGTGTAAGGAACAATAATTTGAGCAGGCTCGGCTCCAAAGTACCGACACGATTCAGTACATAATTGTTGGACCAAGGCCGCTATAGCCTCATAATAAGGATTAATTGCTTTGACTGGAGATACTGGTAGATGCACCCAAAGAAGAGGGCCATCCTGCCAGAGTACAGCTGTAGGGGTGTGAGTGGTAGAAAAAACACAACCCAGCCAGGGCTGGCTATAATCTACATAGGTAAGTTTTTGTTGTTCAATAGCATTTTCTACTAATTGTAAAGCTTGAAGAGCATCAGGAGTAATTATCCTGCTAGAGTTGGGATCCAAATCTCCTTTTAACACATCAAACGAAGGCTTCAACTCCCCCGTGGTAAGCCTCAGATGGGGACGAAGCCAATTTATGTTTTCTAACAACCTTTGAAAATCGTTTAACATTCTTAAATTATCCTTCCTAATTTGTATTTTTTGAGGTTTAATTTCTTTGGGATATAGCAGTTTTCCTAGATAACTGAATGGAGCTTCCTTTTGTAATTTCTCAATTTTCTAGATAACTGAATGGAGCTTCTTTTTGTACTTTCTCAGGGGCAATAACTAACCCATAACTTTTCAATCCCTTCTGCAAGACCCCATAGGTGGCTAATAGCAGTCCCTTGAGTTTGTGTGCTAGAAGTATATCATCCATATAGTGAATAATATATACTTCAGGATATAGATACCTAGTCTGTGCTGTAGCCTGAGCTACAAATTTTTGACATAAGGTAGGACTGTTGGCCATTCCTTGAGGTAAAACTTTCCAATGATATCTTTTCATAGGCTCCTTAAAATTTATGGAAGGTACACTAAATACAAATCTCTTACAATCTTGAGGAGCCAAAGGAATAGCGTAAAGCAATCTTCTTAAGTCCAAGATAATTTTAAAGGTGTCCTGGGGAATAGCAGAAGGAATAGGCAAACCAGGCTGTAATGTGCCCATCAACTCCATTGTTTTATTGACTTCTCTCAAATCTTGTAC